TGTGTGGAATTTATGGCCAAGTCATAACAGGTGAAACATAATTTCTACTGATCCTTTGAGTCCTAGAGCAATACCAGGTCAATTATAGCTAAGCATTTACAGAGCTTTTGTGAAATAGCTCCTGGAATGCCCCTGGACCTTGCAGAAATAGATTACTCGGATGTGAGTCATCAGGCCTCCATATGTTCTGAACTGCCATTAATAAAATGAAACCCAGCCTGGCATGGTGCCTCATGCCTGTAATCCCAGCACTCTGGGAGGCCAAGACACACGGATCACTTGAGGTCAGGAGTTCAAGGCCAGCCTGGCCAGCCTGGTGAAACCCCGTCTCTACTAAAAATACAAAAAAATAGCCAGGCGTGGTAGCGGATGCATGTAATCCCAGCTACTCAGGAGGCCGAGGCAGGAGAATCACTTGAACCTGAGAGGCAGAGGTTGCAGTGAGCCAGGATCCCGCCATGGCACTCCAGCCTGGGTGACAGAGCAAGACTCCATCTCAAGAAAAAAAAAAAAAGAAAGAAAGAAAAGAAAAGGAAACCTGTAAGACTCACCAAATATAAAGAGCGAGATTCCATCTCAAGAAAAAAGAAAAAAAGAAAAAGAAAAGAAAAGAAAAAGAAACCGGTAAGACTCACTAAATATAAGCTCAGGCACTCCCAGTAGCAATTCATTATAAGATGAGATTGGTATATCCAGAATCAGCACAGGCAGATTCTCAGTGAAAAGGCAAGCTGAAGACCCCTATGCCAACCAGAGAGCACAGGCAAGCTTCAGAAATGATACTAATGATACTATCCAGCTGTTTCACTGGCACCTCTCCCTCGGCTCATGTCTATGGCTGTTTAAGATATTTCATAGTACCTGCTGATAAACGAGGAATAAAGTTTAGTTGGTTCTTAGAAAGGTCTGTTTTGGATGTAGATGAAAGCTCTAATTGGACGATGGTTACGCTACAGCACCACTAACTGAGCTTCATAAGACAATAAAAGTAACCCACATTTAAAACATATATGAACTCCTGGGCAGTGGGTAACATGTGTCTCTGTCTCTGCCACTGGAATGAAAGCTCCATGAAGCCATGAACTCAGAGGCGTTTATCTGTTTTACTAGACGATGTATTCTCAGTGGTTAGAACTGTGGCTATAGCATAACATATATTCAAACAGTCTTATAGAATGAATCAATACATGAATGAACATACATGGAGGAATAGTCATAAATATATTAGTAACAGAAAATGAACAAAGGCACAAATAGTTAACCCATGACAAGGAATGTATAGTCAGTGTATCCAAAGTTGTCTAAACACAATGAAAATCCAAGAAATCTAAAGTGAAACAATGCAACAGCCTATCAGATTAACACTGTGTCTCTAATCACTTGAACTCAGGAGTTTGAGGTTACAGTGAGTTATGATCACACCTCTACATCCGGCCTGGGTAACAGAACAGACTCTGTCTAAAAAAAAAAAAAAAAAAAAATTCCCACCTAAGATTAAAACGATAATCTGCTATGGGTGTGGGAAATTCTAAATTTCGGAAGTGTAAAGTTGTAATGTTTCTGGAGAGAATGAAGACTTCCTTTTATTAACTAATTCATACATGAGGATATGAATTTTGTAAAAGATGCACATTTTCTACATCTATTTTGGATTTGTGGAGCATCACATTTATTGAGTATCTCAACCCTTAAAGATACTCTTTTTTTGTTCATGGGCCAAGGGGAGAGGGCAAAAGGAGACTAAATGCCATGAAGGAATAACGTCAGCCTACACAGAGGTTGAACCAAGATGATGTCCTTTAAAATAGGAAGTAATGAATTTACTAGGGAAATATGCAAAGGGTTAAACTGACAGAACTTAATTACTAATTATATAGAAAACACTGAATGAATCTATAGTTTGGGAAAAACATTCAGATACAAATTTTATACATCTTCAAGTTCTGATACTCTAAAATATTTCAGCATTCGATCCCACCAAATCTGTCAGACCCATACTGAAAGAATTAGCCCAGACATAGAAGGTAAAGGAAAGAGAAGTTTCTGAAGCTACTTGATGGCTCTTGGGTAGAACTGAGGGGTCTGGAGCCCTGGATGGGGGTGGGGGAACAGTTTTAAGGTTGCCACCTTTTATACAGTGAGGAGGCTGGGCAGTCATTGACCACCTTCTCTCTCCTTTCTACAGCCTCCTCTAGACTTTGATTTCCTCTCTTCAAGGTCAGTTTTGTGAACTGATTTTTTGGGAGGATGGGGGGATGGAGAATGCTTTTGTGAAGGAACCTGGTGACAACCTGCTGTGGCAACTGTTCTCTGTTGACTACAGATGTATTGAGAGATGCTACAGTGGAATCCGGCTTTCTGATATCAATGGCAATAATTTGATTCTAGAGGTCAAGGGGTTGCAGTTGCCACAGTAAGCCAAAGGGAATGATTAGTAATCAGAGTTTTCATCCACAGAAATCTGTGACAACGATTAGCTGATTTTGAAGTTTTGGGAAATGAAAAAAGAGAAGAAAAGCAAAGCAAAAAGAAAGGATATTTCACTAAGGAGCTGCTTGATATGCTAAGGAAAATTCCATGTATGTTGGCCAGAAACTTAACCCGTATTTTCAGAGAGGAGATTCATTGTGTCTCACCCAATCCCCAGACTTCAATGTAGTTAGTAGGCAAAGCTCTTCCCAGACCAGGAACCACTCAGCTGGGGAGGAGATAGCCTGGGTCTCTTGGTGAAGGCCACTGTAACGTGGCCACAGGTGTAATTATGATATTTATTCCCCAACACCTAAACAGGAGGAAACTTCAGCCATTTTCTTGAATGACTATATACTGGGGAAAAGCTGAGAACCTGTGATGGTTACTGGCTTGTATTTACAAACAGAAATAACAAGTATTTCTTTGTTGCCTTGCCCAGGTGTGTGTCAGCTCTCCTGATCTCTGTTATAAGATGGCCCAGAGGGAACTAAATCATCTTGATAAAGCTCCCAACATGTTATACCTCAGAACTGGTTGCACGCAATAGATTCATTTACATTGATGCTATCATGCTAACTGTTCCTGGTGAAAAGTAAGCAGTAAACATACTACATATTTTTATAAGATATATGTTCACCACCATGAACTTGATCCAACTTGACCACTTTGACCCAATGAACCCTAGATTTAGAAGTGCACAGAAGCATTTTATCACAAACATAGTTGTGGCATTTTGGAGGCAAGGCCTGAACAGTTCCAAAGAAGCACAGTAAACTGCATGAGCAGGTGGCTCAGACTCCAATGGCACATGTTCGCATTCCTTTGCCATCTCCACCTCAACCACACCTATGGCCCAGGTTGGGGATGGAAAAGAGGGTTCTGTACAATCTTACACTGAAGTAGTTGAAAAAAGTAGGTTTATCAGTGGATACGTAAAATACGGCAGCTGGAATAGATGCCACACTACAGTCCCATTCAGGAGAAGACTGTGAAAGACAGAAATGAAGGTAAGTGTTCCTACTGAACAGAAGTTTGGACGATATGTCTGGTTGTGCACCTGACAGGAGGAATAAGCACTCAGAGAAATACATCTAAATTGTCTCATCAGAAACTAATAGGTGAGATGGCTTGTCAGAAACTCAAAAAGAACAAAATAGAAAAACTAATGAGAAGCTAAGAGGTACATATAGAAATCACGCAGAATGGACATGGAGTGTGTAAATATGCATTCCCATGTAAATACTCACAAGTGACGTCCAGTGTTGAGCCTCAATAATCAGGTGAACACAACATGTGCCGTGGGAAACAGCCTCTTTCCCCGGATACTCTGGTGTTTAATGAATGGATTGCTATTGAGTGGCCATGTAGCAGAAACAGAACCATTAGCATGTGTGTGTGTGAGTGTGTGTGTGTTAAGTAAAATATATATAAAATAAGGAATGTGATTATGGAGGCTGGTAAGTCAAAATTCTGCAAGTGGCCATGGACAGACTGGGTACCTAGGAAGGCTCAACTCAAGTGCAAAGTCCACTGTCTGTAGAATCAGGAGGAGCCAGTGTCACAGATAAAGTCTGAAGGCCATTGCTGGAGAATTCTCTCTCACTCAGGGAAGATAAGTCTTTTTGTTCTATTCAAGGCTCCAACTGACTCAATAAGGCTCAGTCACATTACAGAGGAGGCAAATCTGTCTTACTCAAAGGTCGCTGATTTAAATATGAATCCCGTCCAAAAACACCCTCACAAAAATAAGCAGAGTGATGTTTGATCAAGTATCTGGACTCTCTGTGACTCAGCCAAGTTGACAGAAAATAAACGGCCACACCTACTGAAGGAAAATCTGTCAGGCATTTTCTGAAAAACAAACAAACAAACACAAAAGTTTGAAAAGTTAAATTCTTTCCAAGTGATTCCTATTGTCACTGACTTGAGACTTGCTGATCTTCTATTTTCCTATTTTGTCCCATCTAACCATCGTTATTTGGACCCTACTAGTCAAAAATTAGTCAGACCCTAAAGCCCACAGACTAATGTATGGCTCTGGGCAGAAGCTTTTAGCCTCCTTAAATCTCAATACTTTGATTTATAATAAGAAAAATCTACCTAATGATGCTTTTACGTGACTGTTAAATTAAATTTACTACTTTTTAATCTATGTCCCAAATAGCAAAATGGCTATTTTAACTTTTTTAATTTGAATTTTCATTTACCTAGACATTTGTTTTGTTTATTTAGAGATTATTTGTTTTATTTTATTTTTTCTCTTACTTTATTATAAAAGACATGAAGAAAGGAAGTAGGTCTATCTTGTTCTCTATTATGTTTCTAATATACCGCACACAAGTGGCAGGAACAAAGTCCATTTGTTGAAAACAGTAGAACACATTAGCTACTTTTACCTTGAAATTCACAGAATTGTAGCCAGATATTAACAAGCTTATATCCATTTTCATTTACCAACACATCCTGTGTGGTTTTAGACATCTGTATCTGAATAAATTTTGACTATTTTTGGCCTTCCTTTTAGTTTTCTTTTGGTACTTTGTGCCTAAGAGACATATCCAAGGTTGAGATTAGTTTCCATTTTCTTTGTACTATTTTCTGGATAATAACACATCAAACATTTGAAGAGATGGAGACTGAAGATGGGTATATGATGTTGAATTTCAAGAATCGTAAATCAAAGCAGAAATCTAAAGGTAGGAATATTACTCCCCATCACCGCATTTAGTTTAAAATTTCATTATTCTTCTAGCAAGAGAATTATCTTAGAATATTTTTAACATCTTAAAATTGATAATAATAAGGAATATAAAAATGGTCATAAATTGTCTGTTAGGTTATTTAGATTCATGAAAGCATCAACGATAAAAAGGCTGCATTTTCAGAGTCATGAGGTAAGAGAAATGCTAATATGACGATGTGTAATCCTGTGTGTTGTAGCATAAGAACATAAGTTTTGAAGAAAAGGCTGAAAAATCGTGTTTTTACAGAAACTTCCTCCTACAAAACTTAAAGTTAATGGAAACACTAATGTTGGTATGATATGTATGAAAACATGTTTCGTGAAGTTGCCTATTATAGTTGGAAGGTAAGATCTAGTGGTGGTTGTGGGAGTACCAGTGGTCCTGTAGTGTTTTACAGCTTAAAAAGCATATATATAAGCTTATATAGATATATGCTTTTATATATGCTTATACATATATAATATTTTTAATCTTCATAACATCTCTATAGGATTGGTAGAACAATCCACCAGGAATGCGAGAAGAGAGGAAAAAACAAAAAAACGGTAATCCTTGCTCCTTAGGGCTGCTCTGTGGTTGGCTTTGTCTATTCAGGAATTTTGAAAAGAATCTTGTTGAAATAGCCAAGACCTCAGTTAAGATGACATAGGCCAGAAATTGAGAATTACCAGTCACAGTGGCAGTTCTGCCATATATATTGAACGTTCTCGTGTACTATCTCATTTTATATCTAGCGAATGCAAACTTTCCCTTCACCCCCCCAAAAGTGACACTTTTCTCATTATCTGAAGACTCAGGATCTTTTTTGTGTTTCAATGTCATGAAGCAAATGTTTACTTTTTCCATAGTAACTTACTTCCATGCAGCAAAAACTAGTACGCTTGGTGTTAAATTGACTGAGGCAGGCCAGGCATGATGGCTCATGCCTGTAATCCTAGAACTTTGGGAGGCAGAGGTGGGTGGGTCACCTGAGGTCAGGAATTCGAGACCAGCCTGGCCAATACCATGAAACCCTGTCTCTACTAAAAATACAAAAAAAATTAGCTGGGTATGTCGGCATGTGCCTGTAATCCCAACTACTTGGGAGGCTTAGACAGGAGAATCACTTGAACCCGGGAGGCAGAGGTTGCAGTCAGCTGAGATCGTGCCACTGCACTCCAGCCTGAGTGACAGAGCAAGACTCCACAAAAAAAAAAAAAAAAAATTTAGTTAGACCCTAAAGCCCATAGACTAAATGTATGGTTCTGGGCAGAAGCTTTTAGCCTTCTTAAATCTCAATACTTTGATTTATAATAAGAAAAATCTACTTAATGATGCTTTTACGTGAATGTTAAATTAAATTTACTACTTTTTAATCTATAAACTACTTTTTAATATACAAATGTGTACAGAGACTTAAAATCTGAGTATTGATACATAAAATATAAGATAATATCCATTTAAATTATGAAAGAAAGAGGGATAGGGCTGGGAAAATAAATTGGGCCAGAAAAATTACTGTAGGCATGTTTGTGCTTGCCATACATTTGCTTCCAAGCTTCCTTGTTATTATTGACCTAAGGGTAGTTGTTCAATTCACCTTGTGTATAAGATAAAGTTACACCTATTGCTTAAGATAGATATAAATAATCTTGGTCCTAAATCAGAAAAAGTATTTTCATGAGTTCTCATGAAGCACATAAAATAATACAATTAGTGTTCTTGCAATAGTAGCACTAGCAGATTTTGCAGGGTAATTTCTTCATATAGCCCCATGTAAGCCAATGGCATCTAGCCAAGCATTGCTAAGATAGGTCAGCATACTGCACTTCAGGTACTCAGCTCTCTGTTCACCTGGCGTGATATAGTATGTAAATCATGGCTTACATGAAAATATTAATTTTTGATCTATTGTTAAGTTTTTTATAAATCTTATTTGGCAAGAAATTTAAACTCTCCCTCCCTGGCATGTATGGAAAGAGCACTTGTTCTTTATTAACAATTAACTACAGATCCATATACCTGTGATTGGTATTTTCTCATAAAATTGCAGAAATGTATTTTGATGATTTTCAATTAAGTAGAAGTCTTTCCATGTTTGCTTGAACAGCAGAAATATCTACAGGGAAGAAAAAGAAAGAAAATTATTTTGGACTTACTCAGTAATACGGACAATTGAGTAGTAAATTTCAAAAGATATACTACATGTAGTAAATTCTCTAAGTATATACTGTAGATCTAATCAGATGCAGTAAACCCATAAAACTTACTGAAGTAAGGCATCCACACGGAAATTAGATTTGAGAAACAGCACTTTTATTATGACGTAGAAGGCAAATTATTTGTGAAATATACAACCAAGGTGATGAAATTAAATGCTTGTGTATAGATAAAATAATAAAAACTAGGGAATAATTATCAGAGTATCTCAAATTACTTTGCTTTCTCTTTGGCCACTAGCCTGGTAAGTTGGCTATAATGATTCTAGATTGAGATATTAATTATATGATGTCTGCATATAAAAGGAACCTGTTACAATTTTGTGAAAAAAGTGTATAAATCCAATGTATTCAAAAGTGCTAATATGTGGAAAAAAGTAGATAAAATTGAAAGAGGATTATAATATACATGTCCCTATTTAAACTCTCTAGAGATTATTTGTTTATTCCTCTGTAAGGAAACTGTTCTTGCCAACTCTAACGTGATGAAATACTATAGCATAGATGCCATATAAGCATCATGAATTGGAGATCTAATTCTACCTGGGGTGAAACTGATTCCTGTCTAAAGAGTCAAACCCAGAAAATATAATATACTACAGGTATAAGGTGAAATAAAATGTGGATATTTCCAGTACAGTGACTGGTATATAATAGAATTTTAATAAATATTTATTTCCCTCTTTTATTTCTTAACAGCGACTCACTAAATTGAATAAAACACGTAATTGTGCCTGACATAGATATATATATTTTATATATTATTCTTTCTATATAATTTACATGTATAGAAAAACATATATGTTTACATTCTATATTTTTATATTTTATATAATATGTATAACAAATATTTATATCATATATAATTTATATAAATAATGTACATATTTATTTGTATGTATAATATATATGGAATTTAAGACATCATTTTTAGGTCCTCAAAAACACCACCAAATAATTAACAAATCCATGTCAGTACAATCCAAAACATTTAATAACAGTAGTATCTCCTTGGTTTGGGATTATAGACTTTTTATTTTAAATTTTCATTTAATCATAAATTCTAATGACATATCTAAAATGAACATGAATTGTCTCTGTAATAAAAATGAAACAAAAATATTTATAAAGTGAATAATCACAAGAATTCTAAAATTCACGAAGTAAAATTCAACATTTCAGATTTCTCCGTATATCCACAATATTATTGTCTTCTGCTCATATTTGGATGCATTGGGATCCTTATTTTCATTATGACAGTGATTGGCCTGAAGTTCTGGCGTGAGTAGTAAATTTTTATTTATTTGAACATTTTCGGAAGATAAATGTTGATCCTTCATTCCTCTGAATGCCAAGATAAGCTATACATTGTGGCCCCAAACTGGTATATGTCATATTATAAAATTATGTTAAATTTAAAAAATTAAATGCTCAAATGCAAACTTGGTATTTATTCTGCATCTTTTCTTATAAAGAACCCCCAATAGAGGTTGACTTTATTATCTTATAATAAAAAAGGAATGTATTTTTACTAAAGAGCATGTGCTCATTGGTATCACTTTGTGAGATCATTATTTAAGTATATATATATTTTTAAGACCCCTCTGAAAACCATTTTAGACCTCCAGACTTTTTTCTTCCTGAAGTGGTATATGTGTATACTGTAGCTACTCTATTTGACCCAAAGAAATTCATAGTTTCTTTGATTTTTCTGTCTTGCTTTTAAGACTGTGAGCTAAAATGAATAGTGTTTTACATATAACATGACAGGAAATAGATTTTGGGGGCTTTTGAGATAAGATTTCTAAAAATAGGCGAGTCCTAAAGCAACTTCTGTAGCATAGAAGATCCTTTACTTCTTAATAAAGGATCTATTTTTGTATTGGGCAACTGGGCGATTTTGTGTTTTTCCCAGTACAACAAGGGAAAATGTCAGACTTTTCTCAGACCAAATAGATATTCTACTTAATGTATTTTTTCTCTAAATATCAATCATATACCTCAAATGTGTTCAGTGCTATACTGAAATCAATTACTAATCACCCAAAAAGGTCCACTTATTTAACATTCAATGTTAAACGACTGTTTTTAGTTATTATGAATCTATGTAAGTAGGTATTGCTTTCTATTAACCAGTAATTCTAAGAAGTTGAATCCACTGTAGTAATTACTACGGCTTTAAAAATGTTCCTAAAATTCAGGAGTAGATAATTTCTTGTTAGACACTGAGTATGATTTTTACAGGCCAGTCTGCTCTCTTGTAAATCAGTTTTCTCTTCAATAAAATATAAATGGTAAAATGACATAAATAATACAATAATTATTCTTTTAAAGAAAACCGCTATTGAGAAGAAGAAATCAATAAAATTTGATATGTTGATGAATTACTAGTAGGAAAAATATTTTTTTCTAGCCATATTTTTATTCTAATAAATTAATAACAATTACAATACGTGTGTTTCTATAAAATTTGTCCTTGGATTTTGACCAGTTTAAAATATTCTTCATGGCTTCCAGTCAAAATGGAGTATTGACCATAAATATTTATATCTCCTCTTTTCCAAGAATCTATCTGTAGAACAAGAAAAGATAACAAAATAGAGGAAATTAATCAAAGCACATAGAATGGAAAGGGGAGAAAATTTAAAAACAAATGAAAAGTGGACAGTATAATGCTATTGGATAAATCAATGGGGAGAAACTTAGTTCGAAGAAAGCGTAAAAGACAGCTTCTATGTAGATGAAAGCTGTTCATCACGGCTAAGCTAAGGCAGGGCTCCACTTCAGAGAGGAGAGTCAGAGGGTAAATGGAGGTCTAAAACAAGGTAATTCTTTAATACATACAATGCTTATTACCCATTAAATTTAAAAATAAAATAACTTTTGAAAGCCTAAAAAATGAAGAAAACTAACTAAGTGAAAGACTTTCTAAGCCAGGCTCTTTTCGATTGGTGTCTTATCAATCTGTTGGTCTATTTACACAGTGGATTTTGCCCCATAGCATGCAAAAAAAAAAAAAAAAAAAAAAAAAGAACTCTCTAAAACAGTGAGATATATAGATAGAGCTAGGTAGAGCTCCTGATTTATGGACTGGTGGTCCGTGCAATAAGGTGTATACCCCCTCTTTTTGGTTTTGGAGTGAGAGAGGGGAGTAGTGTATAGGTCTACCACATAGCTTGCTGCTTCTTGTGCCGTCTTCTGAAAAGTCATGATAGCTAACCAAATATCCCAGAGCATAAAGAAAAATGTCAGAAAAAAAAAAATAAATATAAGAGGATATCTGAGACAAAAAAAAAATCAAAAAATACCTGTTTATCCAGGAAGGTCAATAGCTCTTTTAACAAGCTTCCAGAAGAAGAAAATAGGTGAAAAAAAGTACATATAAAATGATGAAAAAAGTAATATAAACCATTTTTCAAGAGTAAAAGCAAAACCAAAAAGTATGAGTTTTCAGCTTACAAGAACCCACTAAGTTCAGAACAGAATACAAAAATAGATAATACATAGAAAGAGACGATAAATCAGATGGATAGATAATTTCAGAACACCATGAGTAAAAATATAATCCTAAAGGGTTTACATAAATAGTTTTCCCCCCAAAGCAAATTAGCATCAGATTTTTAAATGCACCTAAAAAGACTCTACTGGAGCAATGTCTTCAAAAGTACGAGCAATCTTGATTTTAACTTAAATTTAAAACAAGAGTAATGAAGTAAATATTTTTTCCATTCATTCTTTTGGAATAACAACAGCAAAAAAGAATGTGGGAGGTGAGTGGCTAACTTAAGATAGAATCAAGCTAGCCCCAGAATATAATTAAAAGACTTTTCAAATTAACAACTGTTCTGTTTTCCTAGCTAGCAATTAATTCTGTCTACATGAAAACAAACTCTAAACGATGCAACTAGGAAGCTGAAGGAACTTGATGATATGGTCAAAAGATTTTTTTTTTTTTTTTTGGTCTGCAACAAAGGAAAGTAAGATCAAGACTAGGCGTTGGAGCTCATGCCTGTAATCCCAGCACTTTCCGAGGCGAGGCCGGCAGAGCGCTTGAGCCCAGGAGTTCCACAGACCAGTTTGGGCAACATAGAAAAACCCCGTCCCTAATAAAAAAAAAATGTACAAAAATTAGCTGGGTGTGGCGGTGGGCGCCTGTACTCTCAGCTACTTGGGAAGCTGAGGCAAGAGGATGGCTTGAGCTCCGGAGCCAGATGTTGCAGTGAGCCGTGATGGCCCACTGCACTTCAACTCAGGTGACAAAAGCCAGATTCTGTATGTATATAAAATTTTAAAAAGTTAAGAGTAATAAAAATAAAAAAAAGAAAAAAGAACATCAATTAAAAAGTCCAGTGAAAAAAATAAAATAATATACAAAAATATAACATCATATATGAAGTCTAAGATTGTACATAATATTTAGAATTGTAGGCCGAATGCAGTGGCTCACGCCTGTAATCCCAGCACTTTGGGAGGCCAAGGTGGGTGGTTCACGAGGTCAGGAGATTGAGACCATCCTGGCTAATATGGTGAAACCCTGTCTCTACTAAAAATACAAAAAATTAGCTGGATGTGGTGGCGCGTGCCTGTAGTCCCAGCTACTTGGGAGGCTGAGGCAGGAGAATGGTGTGAACCTGAGAGGCAGAGCTTGCAGTGAGTCGAGACTGCGCAAGACTCCGTTTCAAAATAAATAAATAAATAATAAAAATAAATAATAAAAATAAAAAAATAGAGTTGTGATTTGCACTTAAACAAGTAAAAGCAGATATGGTGAAACGTAGTTAAATCTGGGGAAGAAGAGGAGTGGGTGCATAGGAGAAAAGAAACTCACAATTTTTATTAGTATGCCTTCATTTACTGCTGGTACTTTTTCTCATGTACCCAGATTGCTATTAATTTTTAAATGTTTCTCATATCTTTTCTTTGCACTGAGTACAGATAAAAAAATGGATTTCTCCCAGAATGTAAATATCAGCAGTCTGTCAGGTAATACTCTTTTCGTTTGTTGTGTGCTACTCTTAGGGGTAAATTTAGTTTTGACTTCTCTCTTCCTGGCATTCACCCATGTTACACAGTAAGCCAACAGCGCTGGTGGAGAAAGGTATGAGACTGAAAAGGACATCCTCTTCCTCAGTGCCGCTGCTGCATATCAAAAGGTTGAAAGGAAGGACACTTGTAGTGATATCTAGGAGGAAAAAAATAGGGTTTTAGTGAGTCAACAACAGGATGATAGCAGATTTCCTGCCATACCTAACTTGCCAAGTATTTATCGAGCGTCCACTGATAGGTGTAACATGTAATGGATGTAGGCTGTAGTGGGAAGAGTGTGGGTTTGGGATAGACCTGTGTTTGAATCAAGAGATTTCAGCCAACTGTTCACATGAATTTAGGCAAATTAAACATAATTTTTTAAACTTTCAAATGAGGATATTATAACAACTATATCATAGAATATTTCATGTAGATTAATCAAACACAGGTCTATCCCAAGCCCACACTAGGATTATATTAGATAGCAAGATGACAGCATGTATTAATGAGTTAAGACTATATATGATGTTTCATAAATCTAAATTTAGGTCCTAATAACCTTTTTCAAGTTATACTTGCTCAGGTTACTTTTTTAATCTTAGCTGGACATATAGTTTAATTTCTAAAAATAATTTGTAAATAAAATTTTAGGGTCATAGTTGACAGACTAAAATATTAACAGTGAAAATATGACATGCTTTAACTTAGAAATATTTAATCCAACCAGTCAACATTCAACAATAAGCATTTATTACATACAAAGTACTAAATGATAAGACAGTCAAAGATGAATATGACAGTCCCACCTCACAAACCTTCCAATTAGGTGGAAGATACGGAGATGTTTACAAATGACCAGGACATAAACGATTTGTCCTTTGCTTTAGCAAAGGTATCAATTACGATACCTATGTGTTGAGTCCTATAGATAGCAGAAATTGACTGGTTCAAGACTTCCTTTCTGAGGTGGACATACAATTGTACATTAAGGAAAAAGTTAGCAGGTAAAGAAGGAAGAGGAGGCTATTCAAGACTAAGGTAACAGTATGAATGAAAAGCACAGGAGAATAAGTACCCAATGCATCAGTAACAGTAAGTAATCTCACAGACATGAAGTGAAGGATGTAAAGACAATATTGAAATGTCAAAGGAATTAAAACTAGATAGTGGAGGAAATTAAATAATAAGCTTTTACTTTTTCAGTTTATAATTAACTGTCAAAAATGTTATAATTTGCTTCCTTTGATTATGGGGATTGGAATTCACAAGCTTTGTTCTCCCCTACTCCATCATCCAAAACCCTGCCCGACTCCTGGAAATATACAGGTTAGCAAATTATTCTCATTTTATATAACTGCTTTTTAATGACAAAAAAAGACTTGGAAAAATCTATTTTCCAAGTAGTCACATTTGATAATATTTATATCTTCCCTGTTGGCTGTAAAGTTTAATTAACTTTCCCCTATATTTTCCTTTAGGACACAATTATTTGTGCCCAAATGACTGGCTGTTGAACCAAGGGAAATGTTACTGGTTTTCAACTTCTTTTAAAACGTGGAAAGAGAGTCAACGTGATTGTACAGAGCTACAGGCACATTTACTGGTGATTCAAAATGTGGATGAGCTGGTGAGAAATCAAAAACAGGATCTAACTGCACAAGGAAAAATGGCTAGGTGCAAGTTCACTGCCTAAGAAGCATAGGAGGTTTATTGTCCTTGCTTTTGAACATGTGTTAGTCATAATGTAGTTACTGTTGTTCATGAAAAAATGCTAATGTATATGAAAAAATATATTTTATTAATGCCAGCACAGAGACTTACACTATAGAAGGCATCAAAATTTGTTTAAACAAATGAATGAATAAATACACTATTTCCTCTGCAGGAGTTCATACAGAGCAGTTTAAAACCTGGACATTTTGGTTGGATTGGACTATATGTTACATTCCCAGGAAACCTATGGATGTGGATAGATGAACACTTTTTAGTTCCAGAATTGTGAGTAGTTATTTGTAAGAAAGGGGTGATAATGTTTATTTATAGAATTATTTTTATATTAAGCTTCCTCACTTTCTATTCTTTTTTTTCCTTCTTTCTCTGTTTTCCCTTATCTTTAATTTTTTTCTCCTTTTTCCTTTCTAGCTCTCTCTTTTCTTTCTTTCCTTCCTCCCCTTCCCTTTTTTTTCTTTGCTTCCTCTCTTCTTTAACATTCACTAATTTTGAAAAATGGGATGGAAAGTATTCATTTTGTCACCTGGCATTTTAATTGTCCAAAATTCATAATAATTTTTAAATTTCTAATCTGATTTAAATCTCGTTTGAGAATAATTTTATGCAAATACTTTTCATGTAGTAAAAGCAAAGACAAAATTCACCTATAAATAAAAGCTGGAATATGTAGAAAGGTCTGGAGTTGAAATCAGAAAACATGATTCTAAAAATTTTGCCCTTCAGAAATTCAACTAAACTTGTTTTTTTTTTTTTTTTTTTTTTTTTTTTAAGACAGAGTCTCACTCTGTCGCCCAGGCTGGAGTGCAGTGGCGCAATCTCGGCTCACTGCAAGCTCCGCCTCCCGGGTTCACGCCATTCTCCTACCTCAGCCTCCCCAGTAGCTGGGACTACAGGCGCCCGCCACTGCGCCCGGCTAATTTTTTTCTATTTTTTAGTAGAGACGGGGTTTCACCATGGTCTCGATCTCCTGACCTTGTGATCCGCCCGCCTCGGCCTCCCAAAGTGCTGGGATTACAGGCGTGAGCCACCGCGCCCGGCCAACTAAACTTGTTGATATCTGTTTCCCTCCATTCCTCCCTCCTTCCCTCTCTTTCTCTCTCCATTCCTTTTCTTCCTTTCCTTCCTTCCTTCCTTCCTTCCTCCCTTCCTCTTTTTCCCTTTCTCCCTTTCTCCCTTTCTTTCTTTCTCTCTCTCTCTCTCTCTCTCTCTCTC